GATGGATAAGAAAAAAAAAAAAAAAGAGTTTGAAGATTTGTTAACTAACTCAATGAGAGAGTAACCCAGGGAAGTTGTATGGAAAGTGGTATTATTCCTATTTCTCAAGTCAGATAACACAGGAAGAGTTGGTTTGAGGGAGAAGAATAACAAGTTCACTTTGGGGCATACTGAATTTTAGAATACCTATGGGTTGTCCAGGTGGAAATGTACAATAGTTGAATATACAAATCTTAAATTCAGAAAGAGGTCTGGACTGGAGATAAAAAAAATTATACTCTGCACAAATGCAAGTCAATAAAATTACCTAAGCAGAGTGACTGGAGAACAGTGGTTTCCAATGGGAAGGGAGCTTCGAAATTTCAGGGAATAGGGAAAAGGGGTAATATAGTTTCAAAATGCATATTCAGTAAATAGTTTCATAATTGGAAAAGGAAACATTACCTATAGTTTTCAGATTACAAAGTATAGAAAATAAAGTTCAGTAAATCTTCAATCTTATTAGTACCAATGCCTCTCAGTGAGGGGCTCAGAGACAATAATGCACCCTCCCGCCCCCACCCCAATCACCCCCATCAGAACAGGAACCGGAGAAATACTTCTCAAAAAATGATATGGCTTAAAAACTATGTTGAGAAATACCGGTTTGATCTGAAAAAGAAATACGAGAATTCAGGGCAAAACTGACATTTTAGGGGTGGCCAAAAGATGAGAAGCTGGCAGAGGAGATCTCTAAGACTGGATTGGAATAGTCAGAAAGGTTGGAAGAAAACTGGAAAAGAGTGTGTTCATGGTGTCAAGGGAGGCACTCCAATACAAAGATAGTGAACAAAACAAATTCGCATATGTAACACATCGAAAAGAATGAAAATGTCAGGGTAATGATCCCTGACAAGACAGTTTTCTGTTTGACTTGCAGAAGGCAGGGAGTTGAAGAGTGAATGGGAAGTGAAGAAGAGAAAATGTGTTTTAAGTCTATTCTCTCTCAAAAAAAAAAGCATGAATTGAATGGAAGAAATGAATGGAGACAGAGTTTCAGAGATCGTTTTTGTACACAAAGAGACAGGTATGTTTACACTTAGTGGAGAAGGAGCCAATGCAATACAAATAAATATAGAACAAGGAGTAAATTATAAGGTAAAGTTCCAAAAGAGAGGGGCAGAACAGAGCAAATCAGTAACAAATTTTAAGCTTTAAAAAGTCTCAGAATTTTTTTGGTAACAAATAGAAAAGTACACATTTTAAATAATATTTTAAATAAAAAAAGATCTTCTAGAATTTGTTATATTCAAAATTCTTGTATTTATCAAAAATCCATACCACCAAAAACACTTTTAGTCATCTTCTGACCCAAACGCCTTAGACAAAGTATAGGTCACTGAATTTCCAAATTTGATTTTTAACCTAGTGCTCTTCCTACAAATCTCAATTGCCTAACCATAAATGCAATCTTAATCATGGATTTCATCATTTTTTGTCTTCCACACTCACCATCTTATTTACAACAAAGTTCTCAGCTCTAGGATACATGTTAATACCAATACATCCACATATTTGATGAATGATTATATTATAGCCATCATTTCTCAATGATTCACACTAAGGGAGAAGATAATACAGACTTCAATCACTTTAGTTTATGGTTTTTAGGCTTTAAATGCATATTTGGCATTCTACTTATAGCCATACCAGACCTAAACATACCAGACCAACAGTATAAAATATTCAAGTTCTAATTTAGCTTGAGCTTCCAGTTATATAGCAACAAAGCAGCTCATTCAGGTCTGTGTTTAGGTGGTGGAGTAGACAGACCTCAGAAACACTATTATATATCTAATCCATCTGTGATAGAGGCATTGAGAATATGCCAAACGTAAACTCCAAAGTACAAGGACATGTTCTCTAACGGTATTCTCGGAAGATAGGGCATCAACTTCCTTTGCAACATTCTGTAGTCACTAAGCATACTCCACAATGCGCTCTTGAATTTCAGTATCATAAATAAATTACATCTGCATGAGACCTCTGTTTCTGAAGCACTTTTCCATGTGTTGTCACTAATAATCCTCTATGCTAGAAGGAAAACGTTAAAGTCTCAAATTTTATTGATGGAGAAACAAGAATAGACTATTTGCCAAAGATCATATACCTAGTTAACAATGCAACCACTTGGTTAGGTATATCCTGTTTACTTCTGAGCTCTTAGCCTTTAACTGCATTTATTCAATACATAATCTTATGCAGAAATTTTTATGCATGCCAGGCAATATACTGGGTGAGAGGAATGCAGAGGTCAAAACATTAACACTAACAGCAGGAAGAAATGGTAAAAAACAAGGTGGTTTTCCAAATATCAGATACCCAGAGAACTGAAAGAAGCAAATTTGTCAAATTTGAGAACAGGGCAGGTCAAAAAAAGGAAAGAGACATAGTGGATGAAAAGTAAATATGGTCTGAGACCACCACCCAGAGCTTTCCTGGAAGCAGGGGACAAGGCTCAGGTTCACCTGACTATTGCCTCAGCAACAGAGTATATAGACAACTCAAGCTTCTTTTTAAATGATGAAAAGAACTTAGTTACTTTTACTCTTTAAGTTTTATCTAGTAGAATCTTTTAGAATTCAAAGTAGGTATAAGTGTTCTTGGTATCAAGGAGTCATTAAATATAAGAATGATGTTAAATATTAATACTCCTACCTTTTGCACAATTCTAACAAGCTATTAAACACATTTTGTCATCCAGATGTTTCTTTCTCTGCCTTACACCTTTAGTTTGTTCCCCTATTAAGTTACAAGTAGGTGTCAGCCAGATGGACAGCCTGAGGAAGCTTCGGGTAATTTAATTCTGTACTTATACATTCATTTGGTGGCATCTCCAAAACCAGTCACAAATAAAACATACGTGATCCTTCAGTAACAAGTGTAATATCCACAATCTTACAATAAATGATCTTTTTTTTTTTAACCAGGATGCTAGGATAGATAGTATTATGGTAACTACAGGAATTAAGCACATTTTATGAACTTTAACCAGAAGGTAGGCAGCAACTATTAAATTTACTTTAAATTCTTATAAAAAGCAAAAATGCTGCAATATGAGTTTTTTGTAGTTATTTCTCAAACTTGTCTGATCATAATCACCTTGGATACTTGTTAAAAATAAATTTACAACACTCACCTCAGATATACTAATTTAGAATAACATACCTATATTATATTCCTTAACCTCATCAAACCATAATAGAAACATATTACAATTTAACATGTTTTAAATAAATTATTTCAAGAAATTCTTTGCTTTTAGACCATTTCTGTCCACTAAAACTGTAATGTAATAAGATTGTTAAATACTCCAGTAAGATGGACTAGAAATGACCTATAATCCCAGTTTATAAAGAGAAAAATTAAAATCCACAGATAACTCAGTCACAAATCAAAACTTGTAATTTTAAACATTAACAAAGTTTTTTGGTTATCAGCTCTCTAGTCTCAAGAGTCACTGGTGGTTTGAGAAGGGAATTTTTTTTTTAAGTTCCAAAAATTAACATGAATTAAATAACTATTTTTTAATCCATGCTTTATTACCTCCTACAGGATTCTAAGACTGTCTCCAAAAGAAGTAAAATTAAATAATCTTAATAAAAGTTAAAAAATTGCAAAAATTCACCCCATCCAGCTGAAAAATGCAACTGAGCAAGGTGTCATTTTTAAAACTCAGCAAATCCTAAGCATTCTGATGTAAGCTATCCCTTTCCAAATGAAACATGCCTATTCAAACACTCTAGTTCAATCTTGTGGTAAGAGCTACCCAAAAATGTTTTCACTCAGCAGTTGGCACTCTCAGATAATATACTTATTGAAGAATGCCTTACTCTCACTCTCTTCCCACAGACATACATGGTCTTTTCACAATGAGTAAATCACGCTTCCCATGTATGTGTAGATAACTTTTGTAAAAGGGAGACATAAAATTCACTTTGTTACACCCCTAGGTAAATGCCAGAGAAATGAAAACACATGACTACACAAAAACCTGTATGTGAATGGTTGTAGCAGCATTATATGTAACAGCCAAATAGTGGAAATAACTGACCATGAACTGATGAATTAAAAAATGCAGTATATTCATACAATGGAATATTATGTGGCCATAAAAAGGAATAAAGTTCAGACACATGATATACATGGCTAAACCCTGAAAACATTATGCTAAGAAGCCAGTCACAAAGTCCACGTATTATATAATTCCATTTATATGAAAAATCCAGAATCAGCAAATCTACAAAGTAAAATGGTGGTTGCCCAGGTAGGGGAGATGGGGGACAGTGAAAATAAAGAATGACTCCTAATGGGTACCCGGTTTCTTTGTTAGAATGACTTGTAATGGGTACTTAATGAAAATTGTGGTGATGGTTGTGCATTCCATGTATATACTAAAAACAATTCAGTTGTGCAATCAGTGAGTAGAATATCTTAATTATATCTCAATAAAGCTGTTAAAAAATAGCCTGTTCCCTTCAACTCTGTAATATACATTAAGAACTGTTGGTGACCATGTACTTGGAATAAAGCTATGAATCAAAATCATGTTTGAAAAACAATTATAAAAAGCTGGATGGCAGTACTTAGTAATTGTTTAAAACTTGTTTTGCATGTCTAAAATATTTGTAAGAAATATATTTTTAAAACAATGATTATTATTGTTGCAAATCGCTTGTCCTAAAAGCTTAGTGTATAAGATATTTAGTAAATATTGATTAACTGATGTGCTAGTGAGCACATCTTTACAAAACTGGTTGGACTCAACCTTACATATCCTTCAACTGAATTCAACTACTGGGATACAGTCCACCCTAGTATTGAGTCATTTGAAAAGAAAATACTGAGAACAGTACCTGACTAATCAGAATAAAAGGATTTTCAAACTCCTTAATGGCCTATCATCAAACGAAGACTATTTCATAATGGTTTAAATATTTTCAATTTGCAAGTGCAAATGAGCAATGTGTATTTATCCAACTGAGCATAAACAGTTCACTACCTACACAAACATTTGCTTACAAACATTTCCGCGCGATTAAAAAAAAAAAAGGTATTAGAAGGGTGTGGCAACTCATCCAAGGTCACACAACAAGTCAGAGTAGAGATCAACATTCTGGATTACACCAAGCCTCCAGGGGAAAACGTACTGACAATTTCGCAAAAAAGAGTTTTTGTTTGTTTTGCTTTATATCATAAGGGGGGGGCAACTGTCAGTTCAGTTTAAACTTCTAAATCGACAATGAGATAGCTATTTTGGATAAACACAAACTTGTGCGGGGAGTGGTTGAGAGCTAAACAAAGCTAGCAGTCAAGAGCCTCTGAACAACTGGTCAGATCCGTCCGATTTTCAACCCTCGTTAAAGCCTCAGCTGAAAAGATCTAGTTTTCCTTTGCAGTTAGTTATGAAGAAACTTAAGGTCTTCTTCGAATGGTGAGAGGATAAAATCATAGTAAGAAACGACATACTGTGAACTGTATTGCCTCTAAGGGTAAGAAGGAGGGTTTTACTGGAAAAAAATATCATAGGTGTCAGAAGAGCAGTGAAGAAAGTATAAAAAAATCTCTAACACTATAAGGAGAAACGACTGGGATTGGCAGAACTAATCTATAATCATTCTAAACGAATCTCAAGAAAACCTTTTCCTCGACCAAAAGGCAGGCCACATTTCCCAGCCTGGTTCTAAAAATGGAGCCGGATTTTCGGTGTGAAGGTGTCTGTGGGGAAGAACGGCGGTGCAGAGCAAGGGCCGAGGTCCTTCGCCTCAGGCAGCCCACACTGGAAGCCGCGCTCCACAAGGGTCAGCGGTGGGACCTCGCTGGATAAATCCAGTTACAAAGAAATGGGCCCTTTAAGTTCCGAAAACCCTCGGCCGAAGAAGCGCCGGTACACACGCACACTCACTCATAATAGTCACACACTCACTGACAC